GTGTTTTCTATTTCCATCCATTTGCCTGCAAACTTCAAGAAGTCCTTGTTTTTTACTGCTGAGTAGTACTCTAATATGTATATATTCCATACTTTCTTCATCCATTCTTCAATTGAAGGGCATGTAGGTTGTTTCCAGGTTCTGGCTATTACAAACAATGCTGCTATAAACATAGTAGAGCATATACTTTTGTTGTGTGATAAGGCCTCTCTTGAGGTAATTTTTTTAGAAGCGTTTGGAGAAGCCTCCAAGTTAGAACCATAGTGTACAACTCTGGAAAAGGAAAGTAGAACTTTTCATAGGAAACTAGAAGTGCTCCTGAAGAACAGCTTTGCTACCGAGGGTTCAGAAAACCCAAGCTTCGTGGTTTCAGTTCAGCAGGGCTGAAGCTCCCTGTGGAAAAGGGAATGGTATGTTGACATCTCATTTACATGAGAACAAAAGTTGGGCCATTAGAAAATAGAGCAGGGAAGAGAAAGAGGCACATTTTAATTTGGATGTGATTACCATTAAGTGTTCTATTCAATCCCTGAAGATAGAGAAGAGTAGCCATGGCCCAGGGAGAGACTGCCTCAGCCTGGAGGTCATCCTGGGTGCAGACTTGGCTGATGGGAGTACTGGGCTTGGCTTCCATGCCATATGTGGGCGACTATAGCCTGTTAATACTGTGAGGGGTGCTCAGGAAATGGAGAGTGGGTTTTTGCTTGGAATGAATGAAGAAGGCACATTCCACCTCTTCACACTTGACCAGTGCATTTGTTGAAATCTTTGCATCCACATCTTTTGAGACTAGATTCCCAAATTAGATTGTGTTCTGCCTAGGTTGGCGAGGATGATCACTGGTACAGATGTTCATCAGTGTTCAGGCCTTGGGAACAGCTCGTAATTCTCTGTCAGAAAATTTCCAGTCCTGTCTTTTCCTATCAGACCCCTCCATCCCTCAGCATCTTGTCTTAGAAGCTGTAAGCTTTGGTTCTGCTCCTAGGTCCATATACTAACAGTATGCAGATCTTGTGATTATCATATTTAGAATTCTATCCAGACTTATGGTTATCTCTTCCCACACTTAGCTCTGTATCACCATTGCCTCTCTGACTCTGCCTCTAACCCCTCACCTCACACCAACTACTCCTCTCTTAGTCTTTGCCTTCTCTCCTCTCCAAGCACACTGTCTTCATGGCTGGCCCAGCAGAACCTCCCTACACTGGACTTTTTGATCCATCTGCTTTTTGCCCACTGGGCCCCCCCCCGGTCTCTCCCATCTCTGAATCCCTCAGATATCATTCAGGGGTGGTGAGCCTGAGGATCAGGTGCCTCTTGGGGCACTCATGTGTCTGCATCTTCTCTGCAGTTCTGGTCACTGTGAGACAAAGTCTTATCCCACCCCTTGTTTTCCCTTTGACTTATATGTAACCTGAGAGGATAAGGATTGTTTTGTTTTGTCGACCCTCTATCTCCTGAGTGTTCAGTACTCAAGGAACTTGAATAGGTGGATGGATAGATCCATAGATCTGTACCCTGGTCTCTTGCAGGTCCGTCTCATTTTAATGTGGAAGAGCAAGTGAAGTGATATGCAAAATACAAGTGTGAATTATGTCTCCTCTGAGAAGGGCAGTGTGATAGGCATGACCATGGGGTGGGCACTGGTATAATACAAGCTTTCCTGGTGGCTTAAGGGGTCAGTTAGCCTGTGACCAGGCCACTGCACTCAGGAGAGAACAGGAGGAGGTAGCTGTGCAGGGAAAGAAGTGGGGCCCTGGAGGAGTTGTGCTGCAGATGGTTAATTGAGAGTCAGCATTGCAGAGGAACTTCTTCCATTTTAGACTTTGAAGCAAAGGAGTAGGTGACTGACTGGCCCTTTTTATAACTGCTCTTCTTGCTACTGTGAGAATTGATGATGGGCAGGGAAAGATGAGGGCGGGACTTGTCAGTCTCTAAGCACATATCCAGGAAAAAAAAAGGAGAACGTTCAAACAAAGCCAAGAGCGGATTTGTTGTCTGCCTGAGAAGACTGTGCATGGGACTGCCGTGGCCTTGCCATCTCTGGTGCAGCACTAGCACAAAGAGCTCAGGGTTCACCAGGGGACGAAGCAGGTGCATGGACTAAGTCTGAGGAGAATTCTTCACTTAACGCCTCACGTGAGCAGAGATGTACATCATATGATTATTGCCATAATAAATGTGTACCTAGTCAGACACACGTTGTCATTTTTCAAATAAACTGCCTTACATGGTTGTATACTAGTATTGGGATAATACTTTTAGTTATTTTGATTTACTTCTATGTGTGTGGGAGGAATATTATAGAAGTTGTTAAAAGCTCATATGTGTAGATAAAAGTACAAATAAAGGGAGCGAGTGCCTCAGTAATGAGTCGGTTGTTTTTCCATTTCAGAAAACACCAATTTGATCACGGAGAGGTAAATATTTGTTTTGCAGAGCTAGTATCTAAGTTTATTGGCATTTGTCATTAATTTATGTACTTTTTTGTGGGAATGTTACAGGCTGATTGGGTACCTCTTTTGCTGAAATGATAAAGACTTTGGTCTGTGAGTAAGCCTTACAGTAATAGCAGTTTCTGGAGCCCAGTGAGGTACAAGTACATGGTGTTTTTGCTTGGTGGAATGCCACATTTTTTCCGCCCACCTTGTCCTGAAGCTTCAGAGGTGTGGCTGGCTTCTGTTCCTACCTTCCTGAGTTGAGCAGTTTCCACACAGCCCAGCACAGAGCACTGTGGTTGGGTGGCAGTGACATTCCCCTGACCACTTCCGTGCCTTGGTCTGATGGCAGGAACAAGGTGGATCCAGAAATCTGGCTGTGTTAACTGCAGGTGGGACTATGAGTACAATTACACAGATGCCTGACTCAGTAGCTCTCTCAATTCAGGTTGTTAAAATGGTGCCACCTGCAAGCACATTTTAACAGGGTTTTATACTCATAGATTGAGGCAGGTTTCAGTTCTCACCAGAGTGCAGCGACAAAATATCAGGAGAATGCTCAGCCCCTCATGTGGTGTCTGTATGGCCCCTCCCCTACCAAGCCTAACTCCCAAGCTGGGGGATGGGGAGTGTAAGATTCAGGTGTCAAGGAGGACTGGACCTGCTTCTGGAGATGGCAGGACTGTCACACTCATGACCTCACAGCCGTGTGGTCAGCTGCACAAGACAGTCTTCAGTCTGCATTCTAGCATGGACTACTGGGGCTTATGAGCCTTCACCCTAACTGAGGAGCTATCGACAGCTGGTGGGGCTTATGAGCCTTCACCCCTAACTGAGGAGCTATCGACAGCTGGTGGCTTTTAAGGGAAGGAGGATCAGTTTTCTTTAAAGATTTAGTAGGTTCACAGTGCTCCAGTGGATGGTCTGCAACCAGGAGAGGGTGGAGGAGGGAGGGGGAGGGCAGATGTGTGTATGTACGGGAAGCATAAATGGACTCTGGGTTTTTGTTGTTGTTGTTTGTTTATTCTAAAGAAAAACACAAAATTAAGGTGTGGAGAGTTTGGGGACATAGATGAGAGGACCCTAGGGGAAGTGTTGAGAATGATTGTGTTCAAAACACCTTCTTTGAACTTATCAAAGAATTAATAAAAATACCACATAGGAAGAATCATTTAAGAAATCATTTCTATGTGTCCAGATTAAGAGTATGTTCCTAATTTGGCAAATGGTAGAAATGAGCCCTTGTCTTCCCTCCCTTCAGTTGGTCTACCATGCTCTGCAGCTGTTGGCATACACAGCCCTCGGGGTTCTGATCATGAGACTGAAGCTCTTCCTGACACCACACATGTGTGTCATGGCATCCTTGATCTGCTCCAGACAGGTAATGTGTGGTGATGGTGAGATCTAGCCCAGCCTTAGCTACTCAGTGGCCCTAAGATAGTGCTGACCGAAGGGCTTCTGTAGCTCCTGACCACTGGAGCTCTCTGGTTCTGTTGCAGCTTCCTAACCTAATGGCCCAAGCTGCTCATGTCGGTTCTTCTACCTCGTGACACTGTCTTCAGCAAACAAGTGCAATCAGTGCAACTTGGCTTCATCCGTTATCACTACAGGCACCGGTAGAAAATACAGCTCAACTATAGAAAGTTTTAAATCTTTATATCACATAATTTCTAAAAGTGGATTTCAAGTTATCTTTCAGATTATATTGTCTTATTCAGAATCAAGTTCTGGAATATTTTTTGTTGTGTGTGCATTTGTATAGATGTGCCCGATTTTGCTCTGAAGTTTAATCATCCTTGACTATTCCACGTGTAATTCACTATTTGTCATATAATTGTGGGTAGAGATGTTCGTTCCTCTGTGGTGATGCTGCCCGACAGTCAGTCAGCAAAGGGGCTGTGCAGAAGCATCACCTATGTTACCTGAAACGAGCATTTACTAAGCACCAGCTCGGAAAAATCAAACTGTGTGTCTGCTCCCCAGAAGCTTGAGATCCAGTGCCCGGTTAGTCAGGAGATGCCTGGGAAGAGAGCAGTGGACAGCGCTGTTGCTTTATTGTGTGTTGCTTTTCTGGGTTCCAGGCTCCCATCACTAAGTGTGAGCTGTGTTAGAGAGGACCCAGGTCCCTCATTTTCCTCCCTTTAGACTGGGTTGGGACAGGAGAGAAAGTCCTCCATCTTGACTCCCATCGCATTAATGGGACAGGTAACAGTCTCTGCACCATGTTCCGAACTTAGGACTCTGCACTGGCTTGCTCCTGCTGTGGTGCTGGAGACCAAGCCCAGGCTCCTGAACTGTGTTCCTAGCCTGTCCTGGACTCACTTAGAAACGGGTGCTCATTTTCCTTTGACTGGGCCTTGTAAAGGAAGCAGGTGACCTGGCTCTTCCTACAGTGCTTCTGAAGCTGTGTCCCTCTTGGGTAGAATTGTTTGGATGCTGAAGGACTGCTCTCTGGACCAGCCAGATGACGCAGTGGGTAAAGGTGTTGATGCCAGCACAGTGACCCGAGCTCAGTCCCTGGAATTCACCTAAGGCAGAAGGAGAGAATTGACTCCCCAGAGGTTGTTTTCTAACCTCTGGCCCCTCCCACAGCCATAATCATAAAATTACATTTTCAACAGTCCATACGTGGGACCTCAGCAGAGGTTGAGTTCTTCCTCAGGATGGTTTTCTCACTGGAACACACTGCTTTGCACTGCCAGTGACCAGTGTTTCACTTTGATTTCAGCTCTTTGGGTGGCTCTTTGGCAAAGTTCACCCTGGTACTGTTGAGTTCGCTGTGCTAGCCGCTATGTCGATTCAAGGCTCAGCCAACCTGCAAACCCAGTGGAACATTGTAGGGGAGTTCAGCAACTTACCTCAAGAAGAGCTCATAGAATGGATCAGATACAGCACAAAGCCAGGTAAAAAGAGCAACAACACCTGTTGCTTTTTATCTCGCTAGGATTCTTTTTCCTCCATAATTTTATGTCACCACAAAATCCTACCCGGGGTTTAAAGGAGCTGTCACTACTGGCTACGTGACTTGCAGGGATGCTATATAACCTTAGTAATTTATTTTGCCATTTCCAGAAATTTAAATCTATAAGAGTTTTCCAAAGTTGTAGGTGCTATATTTAGCATGATTTTGTTATGTTTTCTTTCTTAATAGAATTTCAATATTAGCCTTCCCATTCCCTCTTACTGGTGACCCGCTGTTTAATCCATGTGACCCTATGGAAACTTACTGTCCCAGTATGAAGTGGTTGACTCTTAAAGTGTCTTTCAAACTTTCCAGTCAGTTGGATACTGTTCTCCAGTGGACTAAAGAAGGAAAGGGAAAGAAAGGGAAGGAGATGAGCGCTCTTCAGTGCTGATAACCTGCTCCCCAAGCCTGGCTGCAGATCTGTACTCTGTCGGCCTCCTGGCTTCATTCTGCTGCTGGCATTGAATCTTTAACTTGTGAACCTCCCTGGGTCCCAGCCAGCTGTGTTAAGTGTGAAATAGCTGGACTGTCTTGATGGAAACCCCTACTGGTGCTGCCCAGTGTGATGCTAGACCATGCCATTGCTTCCAGATGCAGTGTTTGCAGGCGCCATGCCCACCATGGCAAGTGTGAAACTCTCTGCTCTCCGGCCCGTGGTGAACCACCCACACTATGAAGATGCAGGTCTGAGGTTAGTGCACAGGTGCATGGGGAAAGGGCTTCATCCAGATAGTGAGTGAGGAACCCACCAGAGTTTCACAGCAGACAGGGTCAACAGGGGCATTTCAGAGTCGTTCATGGGGAGGGAAGAAGATGCTGAAATAAGACAGCTGGACTAAAGCCCTTGGGGCCCCAGCAAAGCTGTTGTCTTTGTGCTGTTTCCTATTCAGCAGAAGGAAAAGCAATCTGAGCAGTTGTCCAAGATAGCCAGGCCTCCTCATGCCGTCCTCAGCTTTGTCTGAAACTGGTGTAAGGCTTCTAGTGATGCTGGCTCCTTACAGGCTTTTCTCTTGACATCTGAGGAGTCGTAGGAGAGTCATCCGGTGGGGTTTCTGCTCTGCTGTCATGAAGCTGTTTGCTGTGATGAGTTTAGATATTTTCTGATGGGATAAGGCTTATTTTTTTTCCATAAATGATGCATTGTGTTCTCCTAAGAGGTGAAGATTTAACATCAATACACTTTCTAGAGGAGATAAAGTATTCATTTTCCAAATGATCACATTAATGCTATTAGTATATTGTTTTGCATAATGATGAAATATACATTTTGTAAATAAAATACTTTTCATTAAAAAATCAATTTCAATGAGCTAATTTCCAAAGCAACTTCATAGAGTGAGTTTTTCTTAAATGTAGAAGTCAAGTGGGATTTGTGGGCTGAGCTGTTGCCCCTTTCCAGCAGTGCTGAGCATGTCTGCTCTCAGCCCTGTCTGCTGACAATTAGAAACAGGTGAACCACGAGGAGACTGAGTTTGGAAATGTGGCTTGCATTAGAGGTTATGTCTGCTTCCATTGTAATCTCACCCTGGCTTCTCCAAGGTGCTCACCTCCTTCCTGCTCTGGAGTGTGCTTGCTTCCCGATAATGTTGATTGTATCCCTTTAATCTTGAAAAAAAAATTTTTTTTGCCTACTTATTTTTTTTCTTGAAGAGCCAGAACAAAAATTGTATATTCGATGTATAGCCGAAAAGCAGCTGAAGATGTGAAGAAGGAATTGATGAAATTAAAAGTGAATTACTACATTCTAGAAGAGTCATGGTGTATAAGAAGATCCAAGTGAGTATTTCAAACAATTAATAGCTTATAATCAAAAGACTGAAAAGTTAGTGTAGGCTCATAGCAAGAGTTCTATTAGTAGTGCATGGTATAATATATATAAAATAAAACATTTCAAAAGTATGAGTCAATATCATATACATAATTATTTAAATTAGACCTTTTACTCATTTTAGAAATATACTTTTAAATAGTGATATGCATGTGTATATTGCCTTAAACTAAAAATACCCGTTTTTAAATAGGTAATTGTAGATGAGTTTTTATAAACTTACGTTTTCAAAGAAAACTACCTTTAATTCTAATTAGAATAAACTGAAAATACTTATATTGAAGAGGACTTATACAGGTTCTCACTGATGCTGTTTTCTTTTTTTTTTTTAACATTTATTTATTTATTATGTATACAATTCTTTCTGCATATATGCCTGCAGGCCAGAAGAGGGCACCAGACCTCATTACAGATGGTTGTAAGCCACCATGTGGTTGCTGGGAATTGAACTCAGGACCTTTGGAAGAGCAGGCAATGCTCTTAACCACTGAGCCATCTCTCCAGCCCCG